GGCCGGTGGGCACGTGGCCCCCAGCACAGGTTGTGATTCTTCTTTCCAGCCCTGTGCCTCCGGCCTAGCTCAAGCTGCCATACTCGGGCTTCAGTCCTTTCCTGCTGGAGGCAATTAGAACCTTTTAGACTCAGTTTCATACCTGAAAAATCCCAATTCACTTGAATTGTCTCCTTGACCCAGTTTACCTGGAACAGTTCAGTTCCTGCGATTGATTTCAAGGGGACAACAAATTCTTAAGCCTTCTTATGCTATGCTTGATAAGATCAGGGTGCTGAAGACGTTAGCTGGACAAGCTTTGGAGGCAGGCCTCCTGGGTTTGCATTCTAGTTCTACCTTAAGCTTAAGCCCACACAGTCTTAACTTTCTGTGTCTGTGAAATGGAGGTAACAGTGAAGATTACATGAGGTAGCGTGTAAGCCTTAGAACAGCGCCTGGCCCACAGTAAGTGCTCAATAAATACTAGCTGATTAGTATTACTATGCTGCCCCCCCCCCCGCGCCCTCAGCACCTCCCAACCCCCGGTTTTTCCTTCCCAGTCTGGGAGCTTGCTCTGGGAAGACAGGTCCCTCACTATCCTCCCAGACCCTGGACCCTCACCAGGTTGTTTCAGCCCTCTAAGCTTCCACATCCTTCTTTGAACTGGGACTGGAATAATGGAGTGCACTCCATAAGGTTGCCGTGGAGGTCAAGTGAGCTAATTGAAGTGCAGAGCACAGAGTTCAATGGCCATTCACTGTCCCTGTTAGCGCTGGAGCACGAAGCCTGCCGGGAAGGGCCTTTGAGATCTTGAAGAGAGCTCGCAGAGCCAAAGGACCAAAGTAGAGAGGAGCATTTCGGATGAACTAATGCCTGAAAGTAAGCCTGCACTGCTGGCTGGCTCTCACGGCCACCCTGTGCCTGCAAGGAGGAGTGGCTGGCAACGCTGCGCGGACGACACTGCGGAAGAGTGGTCAAAAGGGACTGGGCTCAGGGAACCCACAGCGCTGTCTGGGCAAAACACCCCCAGGGGTCTGCGCATTCAAACCCACAAGAAACACCTGCCTCCCCTCCACTCCACTCCTGTCTTTACCTCCAAGGATTTAAAAACAAAACCCAAACAACTCCTATTGTTTGATGTCACTGAGCTCTAGACTTTCCGCTTAAGACTTTATAAAGATCATTGTTTACATTTTTTTAAAAGAAATTTTTGCCATGGGGTATGTGCACTTGCTGGAGAGAGAGAGACAGAAAGCGAGAATTCAACACCCAGGGGATGACCACGCTGCAGTTTCTTCTCCATTTCCTTCTTGAGATTTTGGGCATGCCTGCACATGGGCCCAGCGTGAATTTTAAGCCTCCAAGTCTGGACTGACTACATGGGAGTCCAAGCGACATAACCATGGCACCATCCGATGGCCCCAAGATCATCTTTTACATTTGACTTTAACCCTGAAAAGTAGGTATTATCATTCCCATTTAATAGATGAAAAACTGAGTTTTAAGGATATTAAGTGATATCCCCAAGATTATAGGCCTGGTAAGTTGCAGAGCCAAGGTTTGAACCCTAGCCTGTGGAGCAGGAAGGGGACTGCTCCCATACGCTCCTCAGCGCCCTGGTTGGGGACAAGTTTTCCCACTCCCTGTTCTCCCAGTACCCACTGTGCACCAGGCAAGCCCTGTCTCTACATGGCAGGTGTCTATCCCCTCAAGTCATCGGGTAGAGTCGGAGCTGCTCTCTTCCCCAAGGAGAAGTTATTTGCTTGCACTTTGATTGATCTCTTTATATGATTACTTTCCTCACTTAATGTTTGAGAGAGTCACACTCCAGGGTTGGTGAGCAGGATGCATTCAATTTTTAGTATTTTTAAGAACCTTTCATCGTGGGACCAGCAGTTAGCGTAATGGCTATGTCGCTGGACTCCCACATAGTCGACCGTGGTTCGCGTCCCGGACCCAGTGGCTTAAACTCATGCCGGGCGCGTGTGCGTGCATGCCCAAGATCCCAAGAGGAGAATGGAGGAGAAGGGATTGCAGCGTGACCATCCCCCCTGTGGGGTGATTTGTGGCTTTCTGTCTCTCTGTCTGTCTCTGTCTGTCTGGCAAGCACACGTGCCCTACAGTGAAAACCTCTCCAAAAAAAGAAAAAAATTTTTTTAAAAAAAGCACCTTTCATCGCATTAGAGATACAAAGTGATTTTTGTAAATCATCCTTCTGTCCTTAGGAAGCAAATGTGTGAAATAAGTGAGTTAGAATAACATCAAGAACCTAAAGAGAACCTACTGTCTGGAAACTGGGAGGCTAAGACTGATGTCTACATTGTCTTAAATATGAGGGTTACATACCCACCCACACTCCTTTCATTTCCCTTCAGCCTTTTTAATCTTCTCAAAGATATATTATAGGAAATTTGAGGTACAAGTATGGATTCCTGTGAAACACTCTGACACACCCCCTCCACACACACTCACACACCAAGAATGGTATCAGATCTATCCACCAAAGTGTAGCCTAGAAAAATACTAGTGATTCAAAGACAGAACTTCCCTTTATCTATTCCCTGACCAGGACCGGCAGGTGGCGTGGTGGTTAAAGGCGCTGGACTTCCACATGGCTGACCGCAGTTCACATCCCAGACTTGGGACTTTCCCTCTCTCTCTCTCTCTGTCTCTCACTCTGTCTCTCTCTGGTCAAATTAAAACAAAAAAGTTAAATAAAAAATAACTTAAAAAAGAAAAAGAAGTGTATATTCCCTGACAGAAGAAACTCCTCTCTCTACGGGGAGTTCTAGGGTGAGAATAAAGCGGGGGCACGTTTGATTCGGGGCTTTTGTCCCTTTCCTGTCCTTCCCTCCCTTGAAGAACAAGACCTCCTGTCAGGCCGTGCCCAGGGTCAGGCGAGTGAGGAGACTGCACACCAGATTGTGGCCAAGTCAAAGGCCACAAAAGCCATCTTGGTCCTCTGACCTACGCTGACGCCGAATCTGTGCCTCTGGTGCCCTGACTTTGGAAGTGTGGTCAGTCTAACCCTCTGCCCCCACCTTGAATTGAGCTTTGATGAAAAAGGAATAGGAACGCAGGCCTGTCCCTAGAGATTTGGGGTTTTTGTCTTGGAAGAGCATCAACCGAAGTATGAAGGGCCAGATCTGGATTCCTGTGGCTTGGGATAACAGGTCCCGAGAAACCAAGCGCCTGTGATCGTCTCCCTTCCCCAGATGCGGCCAAGCCCTCTGGACTCTCTTCTCCCAGTCAGCCTCCTCCCAGTTCGGGTGGCTTCCGGGGGATGGCCCTGGCTCTGCTGCCTTTGCCACAGCCGTGCCCTTCCGTCCTGCAGTGCTTTGGTAGGGGGACACTGGCCGATAGCTGCTGCCTGGCTTTAACACCTGCAGGAACAGAACGGCTTCTACGCGTCAGTGTATTTCTCCTTGTTAGGGAGCCTGCAGATGTCTCTGAAATTCGTCTCTCTGGGCTTTCCACTGGACCACAGTGCCTTGTCTGGGCTCATCTCTCCCAGAGCACTGCTTCCGTACATCAGGAATAGTCTGGTTACCCTGATGGCGTATCTTGGCCCTCCATCTCGGCCCCCCATAAAGGACAGCCCGGTTGTGTGTAGACAGCTGAAGGAAGCCAGTCTCTGCCACACTGGACGTCAGGGCACTGAGGGCGAGTCTTCTCCACACAGAGCCGCTCCCACATGTTCTGTGGATGGCCTCTGGGCACGTGGTGGTGAATGCGACCAGGCCAGGGAAGTTCAGCAGATTTAGGCAGCTTCGAAATGACTCGTTTTCTAGATTTTTACATACCAAGAAAAAACAAACTAAGAAGGTTGATAAAGGTTCCTCTCATTTTCTCTCTTCGCATAATTATCTCTCGAACCCATGAAGCCTCTTGGATCAAATGTAACTGGGTGCCTCCCACCTAGGACAAGCTGTGTAGAAGCACTGCCCTTAAAATCTCACCGCTGGAAGTCAGCCAGTGGCCTGGAGGATCCCACATGGCCAGTTGTGCAGTTCAACTCCAGGACCTGGGGCTTGAGCAACATGGCAGACATGTGCCTGTGCACAATCTAGAAGGGAGAAACGGAAGAGAAGGGATTGTGGCATGGTCATCGGGGGGGGGGGTGCTTTCTCTTTTGTTTTTGGGTTTTTTTTGGCCAATGCACGCACCCTGCAGCAAAAGTAAATAAATACATAAATACATACATAAATAAATAAATAAATAAATAAATAAATAAATAAATAAAATCTCATCCCTGGAATTAGTGGCCAACACATTGACTCATCTTTTTTTTTTCCCCCAAGAGATTTTTGCTTTAGGGTGCATGCAGAGACAGAGAAACAGAGAAACAAAAAGCAAGAAATCATCCCTCAGGGTGATGGCCATGCCACAGTCCCTTCTCCTGTGCTCTCCTTTCAGGATTTTGGGCACGCAACACATGTGCCTGGTGTGAGTTTTAAGAAGCTGGGTCCAGGACTCAAACCGCAGTAGACTACATGGGAGTCCAGCAATGTAACCATTACACCATCTGCTGGTACCATACTGACTCATCTTTAAAAGAGCAGCCTGGGGCCAGCAGGCAGCATGGTAGTTAAGGTGCTGGCGGACTATGGTTCAAGGACCCGTCAGATTGGAACTCATGCTGGGTGCCTGTGCATGCATGTCCAAGATCCCAAGAGGAGAATAGAGGAGAAGGAACTGAGGCATGGCCATCCTCCCGGGGGGTGATTTCTTGTTTTCTGTCTCTCTGTCTCTCTGGCGAGTGCATGTACCCTATAGCAAAAATCTCTCACGAAAGAAAAAAATCATGCCAGGCGCATGTGCTCATGTGCCCAAAATCCTGAGGAGAAGGGATTGCAGTGTGGCCATCTTTCTTGGGGAGTGACTTGTCACTTTCCCATTCTGTCTCTGGGAAACACACAAATGGCTCCTCCAAGACTAGGTTTAAAACCAATAGAATGACTAAAAAGAGAACAGTGACTGAGAATGCAGAGTTCTAATGCTCCTCTCCATTTCCACTTCAGACTTGCTGACCATGAAGGAATATCACTGTTTGCTGCAATTACTGTGCCCAGATTTCCCACTGGAACTCACTCAGAAAGCAGCCAGGTATGTCCAATGGGCTCTTGTAACCAACTCAGCCTCCTGGGAGCCCAGACTTCTTAGAGAATCCTGAACTGTATATAAACAAGACAAAAACAAAAAACACATTAGGAAATAAATTGGCATTTAGAGAGGGGTCTATGTGGGATTTGCCCAAAAATATAGTATATTCTTCATTTCCAAAGGGAAGCCAAATGATTCTTTGTGGTTTCTGTGGGGAGCCTTAGGATCTGACAATAGAGTTGGAGGGTCATGAGTTGAAGACGCACAAAAAAAAAAAAAAAAAAAAAAAAAAAAAGCCACGCACACAATAGTAGAGGTTATCCTGAGGAAAGAGGGGGCAGGAGTTGTCATGACTCATGAGGGTTGAGGTGGGGATTGGAAGGGCATGAAGGTGATAAAGCCCCAGCTGATGAAAAGGCAAATTGTATTATTTCTGCTAAAAGAAGGTTTTTAAGATTAGTGCAGAGCCAAGACTTGCTGGAAGTTATTAGAAACCCCTAATTTCTGGGACCAGTAGATGGCATAATGGTTACATTACTGGACGCCCATGTAGTCGACTGTGGTTTGAGCCCCAGACCCAGCGGCTTAAACTCACGCCGGGCACATGCGCATGCGTGCCCAAGATCCTGAGAGGAGAATGGAGGAGAAGGGATTGGAGCGTGGCCATCCCCCTCCCCCCAGGTGGTGATTTCTTGTTTTCTGTCTCTCTGGCTCACCAGCGAGCACACATGTAGGAAAAATCTCTCTAAAAGAGAAAAAAGAAAGAAAGAAAGAAACCCCTAATTTCTGTGTGTGCTTTTACTGTCATTCACATTTTTTATTTTTAGAGAAATTCTTGCTGTAGAGTTCATGCGCTTTCCAGAGAGACAGAAAGTGAGAGAAAGCAAGAAGTCACCCCTCAGGGGGGGATGGCCACTCCGCAATCCCTTCTCCTCCATTCTCCTCTTGGGATCTTGGGCACGTACACACACGTGCCAGCGTGATTTTAAGCTGCCGGGTTCAGGACCCAAACTGTGATCGACTACATGGGAGTCCAGTGACATTCCCATTATACCATCTGCTGGTCCTGTCATTCACATTTTTAAACCAAGTGAGGTAATTGGACTATGCTGTAGTTAATTTTTACTTTTTTAACACAAAACATGAGGTAGGACTAGGAATGGGAATATAGCAAAAAATCTTATTTTCTGAAAAGTACCCACCTTCCCTAAATCATAGTGGCTGCATTTACTTTCGTTGCTCCTTTTCGATCTTTTTGCTTTGGGGCCAGATGGTGACATGTGGTAAAACACGGTGCTCTGCGAGGCTGACCCACATAGGAAGGCTCTGGGCTTGCACCTGGAGCCCTCCCTAAGCACTCCAGGGAGATGCATGTGTGCAAGCTGGCCGAGGCGGGGGGGCGGGAGGGGGCAGATCTTATCATTGGGATGCTGCTGGGGTTGTCGTTCACTCTTTCTCTGTATCTCACCTCATGGAAGAAGTAGATGAATAAACTTTAAAAAGACATGCAATTTTTGTTTGTTTATTTTTTTCCCATGGGTGTGTGTACTTGTAGGAGAGAGACAGAGAAACAGTGAAAGAAAAAATAAGAAATCATGCCCCGGGGGGATGACCATGTCACAATCCCCTCTCCTCCATTCTCCTCCTGTAATTTTTGGGCATGGATGCACACACACACCCAGCATGATTTTCTTCTTCTTTTTTTTTGGAGAGGTTTTTGCTATAGGGTGCATGCACTCGCCAGAAAGACAGAGAGAGACAGAGGGACAGAAAGTGATAAATCCCCCCCCAGGAGGGATGGCCACACCACAGTCCCTTCTCCTCCATTCTCCTCTCAGGATCTTGGGCATGCACGCACACGTGCCCGACATAAGTTTAAGCCACCAGGTCTGGGACTCGAACCACGGTCGACTACATGGGAGTCCAGCGACTTAGCTGTTTTGCCAACTGCTAGTCCCCTCAGCATAATTTTTAAGCTGCCAGTTCTGGGACTCGAACCATGGTTGGCCACATGGGAGTCCAGTGCCTCAACCATCTCGCCACCTGCTGACCCTTAAGACATGCAATATTAAATACATTTATTTTATCTCACTTAGTCTTTATAAAAACTGTCACTTCCGATTTCACTGAAGAGGAAACTGCTGTCCAAGAGGTTGACTGTGTTGCCCACATTTACTGATAGCGTGTATGTAGCAGAGGCGTCGCTTGAACCAGGCCTGCCTGAATCCAGAGACTTTGCTCTCAGTCTCCTCATGTCCCTGCCTCCCTGTGTCACATCTGGTTTTACCTTCAGAACCTAAAGATGCACAGGCCGTGCCAACAATCATCGCACTCCTTTTGGAACAAGTGAGCTGCCTCTTCCACCGACTCGGTAGATGGAAAATCGGTTGCTACTTGGAACAGACACCAGCCTCACAGTGGGGGCAGGTGCTCCGCAGTTCACAGCTCGTGATCTAATTTTGCTGGTCACGTGCAAAACCTGTTCAGTGATCACACCCAGACTTCTGCAGGTTTTAGCCTCCTCATTGTTCGGTGGATACTTATCTTCCCCGGTGGCACCTAGCCACTGGGAAAAGCTGTAGTTCAGGTTTTCTCATTCTAACTCATCTGCCATCCAAAGGAGTTTCTTTATGGGGGGAGGAGTAATTTTTGTCTTCTATTACTTAGCTGAAAAAAAAAAAATGAGAAATTACCTCTCATAATTTAAAAGCAGCCAAGTGAAGTTAGCTTCAAATTTCCACGGTAGTTTCCCTTTGGGCTCAAGTCAGTTTAAGGAAGATTTGGCCCCAGAATTTGGGAGGAAAAACACACAGCATTCTTAAAGACTGAATTTATAAAAGCGGCTCTGACTCTGACTAGAGAGTTCCTAAATAAAGGAAAAAACCCTGAGACCAGTAAGTGGGATCGCAGCTAACACGCTGGCCCCCACATGGCCGAAAACCATCAAGTATAGGACTTGCCAGGTGCGGGTGCAGGTGTGCCCAAAACCCTGGAAAGAGAATGGAGAAGGGCTTGCGTGTGACCTTTCCTCCTGGGGGCTGATTTCCCACTTTCCCTCTCACCATCTCCCTTTGTTTCCAGTGGTACATACGCTCTATGGCAAAAACCTTATAAATAAACACTGAATGAATGGAAACCCTCAGTATGAGTGCGTATGCTGTAGGAGGGCAGGTAGGAGCTGTACTGTCACCCCGGAGATCTTTTTTTGCTGTTGTGTCACTATCACTTAGCAAAGTACCTAGATGAAGGTCTTCCAAAAGTTCAAGGAAAATGTATATTATGAAAAGCTATACATGGGTTTCATAAATCTTTTGCACGAAAATAAACTCATGCTAACTTGTAAGTTGTTTGAACAGGCTCCAGTTCTATGCATTAAAGAGAATAAGATAGTAGTTTGAAAAGAGTCCCTATCAGGACAACGTGAATTCTGCTAAAATTGAAGCAAGAGCAAGCATTGCATTTATGATTAAGCTCAGTGGAAGAACGGTGAAATCACTGATGCTCTCTGAAAAGTTTATGGAAACAATGCCCCAAGGAAATCAGCAGTTTACAAATGGTTAACTCATTTTAAAGAAGGGGCTTAGTTGGAGCCAGCGGGTGATATGGTAGTTAAGGTGCTGGGTTTCCACATGGTCAACTCCTGTTTGAAAATCACACTGGGGGGAACCAGCAGTTAGCGTAATGGCTATGTCGCTGGACTCCCACGTAGTCCACCACGGTTCGCGTCCCGGACCCGGTGGCTTAAAACTCACGCCGTGTGCGTGTGTGCCCAAGATCCCAAGAGGAGAATGGAGGAGAAGGGATTGCGGCATGGCCATCCCCCCTGGGGGGTGATTTCTCGCTTTCTGTCTCTATGTCTCAAACCACCACCCCACAAAAAAAAAAAAAAAAAAAAAAAAAAAACCTCTCCAAAAAAAAAAAAAGAAAGAAAATCACGCTGGGTGCATGCACACCCAAAATCCCAAGGGGAGAAGGGATTGCAGTGTGGCCATCCTCCCAGTGGTGCTTCTCACTGCCCCCCTCTCTCTCTTCCTTTGTCTCCCTCTAGCAAGTACACATGCCCTGTGGGAGAAAAATCATTAAATGGCATCCATTTTTCTACAGTTAATAATGTCAAAAAGACTGTTGACATGGTTAAATTTCTAGGCCTCTCATCTCTTTAAAGTCGATCTATTTAGAATGGTGTCATTGCTTACGAAAGTTTCTTTTTCTTTTACTTTTTAGAATTTTTTAAAGAATTATTTTATTTCACTTTATTTATTTATTTATTTTAATTGTATCAGAGAGAATCAGAGTGAAAGAGAGAGAAAGGGAAAGTGAGAAAGCAAGCCGCCATGTCCGGGACTTGAGCTGTAGTTGGCCATGTGGAGTCCAGTGCCTTAACCACCACGCCACCTGCTGGCCCCTTTCCACAGACTTTTTAAGGTCCCCTTATACATGTCTGCTGGATAAACGAATACATAAATGAATAATATATGGATAAATATCCTTTCGTTGGCATTTTACATGGTTCTAATACTCCATGATTCTAAGTAACTCTAAGAACAAGAGTCAGTAATTATATCTTATATTCAGATGTTCATCAAATTTTTTTTCTTTTAAGAGAAAGATTTTAGTTTTTGGGTGCATGTACATGCCAGAGAGACAGAGAGACACAGAGAGACAGCAAACGAGAAATCACCCCCTGGGAGGGGATAGCCACACTGCAGTCCTTTCCCTTCCATTCCTCTCGGAATCTTGGGCATGCATGCACACGCACCTGGCATGAGTTTTAAGCTGTCAGATCCAGGACTCAAACTGTGGTTGACTACGTGGGAGTCCAGGAATGAAATCATTACGCTATCTGCTGGTCTCTAGTCATCAAATATTTCTTGTTGGGGGTGGATTTCTCTTGAGATCTCTGGTTAAGCGCACACACCGTATAGCAACAACTTTTTTTAAAAAAAAGTATAAAACCCAATGACTTTTCGTGTATTTCCAAAGTTCCGCATCCATTACCGCAA